TATAAACAACAGAACGGGTACAAACAAAATGTCGGAAGAATTGTTATTAGATGCTATTGTCAAAGATTTTCCACAGTTTTCGGGTAACAAAACCGAAAATGTTGATGATTGACTTCGATCATTAACTATTAAGTTTATCGCCTTGGATATTGATGATGACGCAAAACGGAGATTGAGGCCACAAAACCGCCTTATCCGCTTCCCTCCTTTATACAACATGTTATCGATATTTCTTTGATGATACAGGCGATTATTACATTCAAAAAGTCGAAGGCGAGCTTCAAAGAATTATATCCAGTATGGGTGTCGATCCTTCTCAAGTTCGATCGTCCATAAATAACATTATTGTATATTTGCAACGTCATGCAAAATCATTTAATGGTATGAAAAAACGCTTACAAAATACCAAAGAACGTTTACAAAAAACTGAAACAGATATAGCAATGAGTAAAATGCTTGTAATGGCAAGTGATGTAGCTGATCTCTATATTCGATATTGTGCTTTACGTGTGTTACGTTCTCGAGGAATTACTGCGTCAAATGCAATGAAGCATTTTTTCGTGTTTGTTGCAGGTTTTCAACTATTGCCATTACAGTATCGAGTGCATTTTTTAGTTCCAAAAGTTCCATTACCATTTCGCCTATGTGCGGCGGTAATGAATCGATGCCAGGTTTTATACTGGGTGATGCTTCTTCATACTCAATATCTGACGCTTGAATCGGACATTTCGTTAAGCTATACTTACATTCTCGAATAGCCTTTTTCCAGTTTTCTTGGATTTCAGGAAATTTAAGGGTTCGTTTTATTTCCTTTATACTGGAGTTCTATGTCGAGTTTGTTCAAGAATGGAGGGGACGCTAGCGCTGTAAAACGGGCCTCGAACATGTGTTTCCGTTCTTTTATCACGTTGATTTTATCGTGTAAAGCGAGGATCTCGATACATTTCGGGAGCAGGTCTGCGTGGGCGGTGTTCTCTTGGTTATACTGGTGACATTGGGCTTTTAGGTTCAAGTGCAACTGTTGTATATCATGTTGCAGACGCAGTATTCCGTTGCGTAATTTAGATATACAAAATTAATATCACGAAATTACGGTGTAAACAGATTGAAGAACTAGTTGCACAAAATCAGTTTTTGGGAAAATTGCCGAGTCCCATTCAGGGAAACAATGTATATTGTGCATCGAATATCTACATGAACGAAGTCG